ATATATATATAAAAAAATACATAATACAAAGGATATTTCCATTACCTGACTAGCAGGCTGCAATCCAGAGGGTGGAGGTTTGGTTTCCAGTACCGCTGGCTCTGTCTCTCCATTGGTCTGTACAATCTCAGTAGGGCCATTTGTGGTGATTTTCTCCATTACTGGCATTCTCTCAAGCAGGGCTGGCCTGAAAGAAGCTGACATAGTTACACTGTGCCATCTTCCTGGATCCCAATCCAAATACTCAGACATTCAATAGATGATATACACAGGGCAACCTGCCTTTTACTTCATCTCCAATGCAGGGGAACTGTAAGACTGCATGACAGCTTGAGGTGGTCAGAAGCAATCCCTGGTATTCTGCGCCAGTGTAAATACATTAGTTGACAGCTGAAAGCCAAGCAAGCCCTCCTGCCTCCTGTTTTCCCCTAGTACTTGACAGTTTCCACTGTGGGGCTAGGATAACAAACCCAAGACAAAGATTAAATAATTGAGCAATGGTGGATTAACTGCAGACATGGGACACTCAGAGAGTCAGCTCATTTGACTTCTCTTTGCAGAAGGGTTAACAACTTAGAACACGTGACGAAGTTGGAAAAGCAAATCACCATGCTCTCATTTAGCCAAATTAAGTTTCCAAAGAGATTAAGTTCAGCCCTTGAGAGTATCCTCCTGAAATGATACAGAGACTGAAGAAGAGGCACGGGATCCAGAATCCTGACATCAAAACAAAAAAATAAGAAAACCTGTAGAGGGAGAACTAGTCTGTAATACAAGAAAGGCCATTACCCTTGCAGATTAAGCCACAAAGCACTGCATGCCATAGGGGAAAGCCACACTGTCTACACATCTTTTGGGCTGAAAAAGTGTTCCAGTGCCAATAAACCCAACAGCAGGCCACATTTTTGGCCATGAACAAAGTCTTAATGAGCAGAAACTACTAAACATTGACCTTCACACTGTAATGAACACCAGAATATACTGGGGGGGGAGGGGAGCCGAATACAGATGCTGTCTTGTAAAACTGAATGAAGTTCACTTATGTTCTTCTGAAGTGCAACACTTCCCAAAACTATGAATAGCATACACTGCCATCTCATCAAAAGCCAGCTGATCACCACAGTGCTGTCTGCCACGGTCAACTCGGATCAAAACCCTCTCATGCTAGATTTTTCTCAACTCATTCATAAGGCTTCATGTGAAACCCTAGGCAGCTCACATACCCTAGCTCATTAACATGACTTTTCCAAGAACAATTTGAGTTGCTGCACGGATCCCACAGGAGGAGAGAAGAGGAAATCACAAAGATGTTGTGTCCTACACATTGTGAATAGGATGGTACCTATGGAAAAAAGTGATTGCAAAGAGCCTTTGCAACAAGGTTTGGAGGCCCCTACAAACCCAGGCAATATTTAGTCCAATGGCACCCATTTTCTCTCTGTCCTTTCATCTAGACTCTGAAATGGATGCTCCATTGGAATCTTATGGAAATTTTTCAAGGGTGTATAAAGTTAATCCCCAGATGATCTCCTCCAGTTTTGTGATCCTCACTGAATAGAATCTGTGGTGCTCCTATGTATCAACAAGTAACTGTTGCACATAGATTAATGACTATTCTGCAAAGAATTACAGCTTTAGTTATTGCAACAAAGCAGGGTTTTAACTTCCTCATAAAGAAACAATCACTTGAGCAAAGCAATGATGAATGGGGACCTCTCAATGATAAGGTGTAAGGAGGTCAACATGCTTGCAAATTATAAAACAGGGATGCTGAGTAGTGCAGTAAAATCATATGCCTTTGCCTGCAGAATTTGAGATTTTAAACAGATTCTACAAGAAGTTACAGTAAATTAAAAAGATGTTCTGAAAAACTGAAAAGCATTAACAGTTGGAAGAATTACTTCAAGTTCAGAGCACAGCTTAGGAGAACAGATCAATAGATGTCTGCATGTTTATTCCAAAGACATTTTAAAATCCGTTTGAACCTAATGACTGTGGTAACACTAGCATGGTAAAAGCTACCCACAGACATTCACTCAGCTAGCAACTTTAAGATGCAACACCCAGAAGTAAAAATTAGTCAAGTTCAAGCTCAAAGCGGGGCAAATGTTTTGACAGAGAAAGTCTCTGATCACAGAACAATCTCCCAGGATATGTTCCTAAAACATTCACTAACCCTACAGATGAGGGAGGGATTCTAGTTCCTCTGTAATCCAACCAAAATCACCAAAGCTCTCAAAGCACAAAGTGTAGTACACAGGACATCGGAGTAGATTATAGTGATCCTTTTCAAACACCAAAACTCATCAGCACTTACCTCATGTGATCATATTTCTTGAAAAGTGCATTATATTCCACTGCCCTCTGCTGTAGCTCCACATCAATGCTGCTGCCATAAATGGAAACTACCTTCTTAATGCGACTGTGTGGGGACAGGGCGGGAAACAAACAAAAAAAATCCACACCATGGAATTAGCAACAATAAAGCAAGGGATTAGCACGTGTCATCCAGGAGACACTATCTGGCCTCTGCTCAACAGGTGTCCTGTGTAACTAATTCAAAACAGCAGTCACTGCTGTTTTCCCAGAGTATCTATGCAACATCCATTTCTGAACTGTCCCTTCACAACAGCATCAGCAGGTGACTAATATACCACCACAAGGTATATCATAAGAAAGCTCAGCTACCCACACTGAGAAGCCATCAATAGGAAACAAGACTATTTTTCTCTCTGAAAAGGGAACTGGAAAGAACAGTCCACTGAAAGGACGGCCTTATCTTCCCCATAAAGGAATTTTCAAGCAACAGCACCATGGATTAAGTCCCTACACAGTAGAGGACATCCACAGAGAAAACAGTACCAATCAGTGGAAGTCTTCCACCCCACAAGCAAAGGAGGACTGTAAAAGCCAACAAATGACAAGATGATTCTTGTAAACCACGGAAGTAGAATGTGTCCAAGGAATACTTCTACTGAAGACAATTGATGCCACCGTATTTGCAACAAAGCCCTGTGCAGTACAACATCAATGAGAACTCACTTGACAGTGCAGGTGAACCTTGTGGAAAGCTTCATGATGGCAGTGAGAGCATAGCCTCGTGTAACAGATGCAGACATATTAGATATCAGGACGCTTTCTAAAATATCAAGAACTTCATCCTCTGTTACCTGAAAAGGTACAGAAAGGTTAGGCTGAGACAGAGAGCAGCTTTGCAGCAAGCCTTCCAGGGCATCCTGTAAAAACCTGTCTCTTGATTAATGGCCACATCATACTTCCTCTGCAACTCTGTGAGCCTGTAGCATACGTTCAGAGTGTACAAGACAGATGCATCTAGGTGGAGATCTTCTGCTTTAGTTTTAGAATACAGTTCCTGTTACACACATTGAAGAACAGGTTTATCACCAAAATACACAGCTAAGACCCTAGCAGATGCCCTGCAAGCAGGTTAGCACTGAAACCACACCACTCTGCCAATTGTAGCTGCACTCCTCACCGTGAGTGTTTACACAGCCCATGCCTGTAGCATGGGAAGGGGATTCCTGTCCAGGGTTTATCACCATCAGGACACCAGTGCTAAGTAACTGTTGCAAGCATTCCCCTCACATAGCATCAAGTGGCTCCAGCCTCAGCCAGATACAAAGTTGTTGTTCCTTCCCAAGCCATACCTGTATTGGTTCCTCCTCTTCACACTGACCAGACACCAGAAGATCTCCATACTCTCCTATGCACCAAGAGGCCACTTGCACCAGGGGCTGCTGTTAGAAGAAAAATCAGATGCCTCAGGGATAAATGGATGCATGTATGACAAATTAAACCATCACCATTTCCCAGAGCAAGTTTAGCCCTCCTTCCAGCCAAGGAAGTTCTCCACAGCAGAACAAACAGGAATATTTGATTCAATCAAGAATTGCGTAAGAGAAAACAAAAAGAACGCAAACTTACAGGAGACATGCCTCCTCTGCAATCTGTCCCTTGGAGCTAGACAATGTGATGTTGACTTACCTTGAGATGCTTAGTAAACATGCTTATTGCAGTACAGCAAGGAAACTGAAGCTGGCTGGTCACATTTGACATTACCTGGGAGTAATCACCAAGGATGGCTTTGTAGAGTCTCTGCACAGTGTAGGCATGCATCTCCACACTATTAGTTATTAGCTGAATCAGATTGGGAACAGCATCATCACGAACATAACTTCCTGCCTGCAAGAAGAATTGTGTATTCGAGAGACAAATAAAAGTTGTTAGGTTTCATTGCCCAACTTCTCAGTAACACCCAGCATCTGCTGATATCCTTCACAAAGCCACCTGATGTGCATGGAAATAAAAATCCACCTCCTCATCCCCAAACACTTTATGGTTGATTTTATGGCTCAAATGGGTAGAAGTACAGGACAGTACATTTTCCCAATGAACTCAACTATACCCAGAGAAATCCATACTATAGATGTCCTGAAATTGTCAAGGGGATAGGGTGTGGACAGAAGAAGCCTGTGCTACAGAAGGAAAAAAAAAAAAAAAAAGCAACACAGAAAACTGCTCTCTTAAATGGAAGGCTTTAAGTCAAAGACATCCTGGGGGCAGAACACAGCTTATTCAATTGCTTGCTCAAAGCCAGACTCTATGCCAAATAAGCACAGGACCCAGGAACTTGCCTGCATATCACTCTGGTTAGAGGATAGGAACACGGAGCTCAGAGGGAAAAGTCCACTTTAAGGCCAGGAAAGTATGTGGGGCAATACGCAATCACACAGCTTTGGCACTGAAGGGAAGGTGTATACTGTTCACAACCTGCTCTGTTTAGGCACTCCTCTGGCACCGAGAGCAGAGCATGCAAAAAGAAGGAAATTAAGTGAGCCCAATTAGGTCACCTAATTGAGAATCCACCTAGCCAAGGATGGCTGATGTCATCTTTCTGTGTTAGTTCTCATAAGTCTGCTAAACTGAAAAGGATGTTTATCTGTACGAGTCTGCAGTAGGTAGTCTCATGAATACAGCTTTATAAACGGTTTCTCTAGCAGCCAAGAGAAGGAAGTTACTTTATTGAAGGAAGTAATCTGAGAGCAATTCTCACAGCCAACCTTCTAATGGAAAACAATTCTTAGTTCAGAGGAATCTACTTTCCTCTGTTTCAGGGTGGCAAAATACCACACAAGCCAGACTCGCTTCTGGATGAACATCTCAAATTTGAACACTATTACTGATAAAATAAATCTCTTCCCACTCCTTTGCCTCAGGGAACACACTGCCTACCCAAGTTATCAAGATCTCTTCCCTCGTTTGCCCAAAACACTACTCCAGTTCCACCTCAGCTGTGATGTTTAGAAAGAAATTCATGTAGGTAAAGAGTAAGAATTAAACCCAAAGAGAAGGAACTAGAAAGCTGTTGATACAGTTTCATTAAAAAAACTTTTATAAACTCAACTTGGAATAATGCCAAGAAATTGTTTCACTCCCTTTCTCTTTGCAAGTCACTTAAGGCTGTGTTCACTCTCCCGTGAAAGCACTGTATGTTGGGATCACAGACAGCACAAGAGCTGTCCTAACTTTGAAGCTAATGTGATTACTGCAGTAGAAAAACACTGTATTCTTGTGTGTTTCCGAAATCACTCATTTCTTCTAAAAAACCATTCAGTCATATTTACTGAGTTTAGATATTTCTGACTGGCTGCTTTGGGTCACTACCACATAAGTACACTTCCTCTGTGTATTGCAGCATTTGTTATCTGCCAACCTTTATAGCCATCTCCAACTTAATGATGAGCAACTTCCTACAGAATTAAAAAAATTTTATATAGTCACACACAAGAGAAGGAATCTCACTTACCGTTGTTAAGACTCTCATAATTGTGTCTATGTGCCAGCGTTTGGAAGGAGCATATCTGACAAAATTAAGAAAACAAGTTAGAGCAATAACTGCTAGCCTTCAACCCCAGCAAGAAACCCATCATCATCAGAACCTCCCCATTCAGTTACTTCCTGGACCACTGTTTCCTTGCAGCGGGGACACCAACAAAACACACACAAAAAAGCCCCACAAAACAAAACACCACACGCTTCACATTCTTTGACTTTTTTGTATTAATGCCAACATCAGAAAGATGAATGAATATACAAGTCCATATAATGCAGCACAGCCATACCTTGCATATACAATACTTTGAAGTCAGGCTGCTGATTACAATGGCTCAACAGTAATGAGATCATCTCATTTGTACAACTAACCAGAGAGAATCTGTGTGTGTGGCAGGGGGGCAGAGCCAGGATGTCAGCACAATACCTGTTCCAAAGTTCAGCAGAAATCAATATACTAGACTGGTTTAGTGATTGAGTACTATCCATATGGGACACACTAGTGTGTCCTGTTCCTCAGAGTGGGTTAAAACTGACAAACCACACACAGATCAGCAAATGGAGAAGAGATGATAACATATTCTCTCTTGGGGAGGGTGAGGAGGGGGAGGAACATCACATAAAATGCTCGTAATTCTGAGGATGTACAAAAAACTAAGAGCAAGTAAATTGACCCCATACTTTTCAGCTGCAAGAAATATTCCAGATGCACAGTCTGCCTTGAACTCCGGTTCACAGGAATCTAGGAAATACAGCAGCTCCTTCATCATTCCACGGACATTGTTCCCATTAACAAGAGCAAAACTCAGTTCCATTGCACGCCTAGGGCAAGACACAGAGAACTAATAAAGTATCTTCACCTAGTGAAGTAAAAAAAAAGAAACTCAGACGCCACAAAATATCCCCAACAAAACACCCCAAGCCCAGCTACTCCAATGCACTTACCTTTCAATTAGGAAGAGAGCAATATTTATTAATCCTGCGAGAACAGCCTTCCACATTAAATGTACCAGTATTTTCTTGTCCATGGGCAGACAATAAATACCCACCCCCAAGAAAACTAGGGGGGAGTATGGGTGTGGGGTGTTCTAGAAACACCTATCCAGATGTCCTAAAGGCTAGAAATATCTTTCAGCCACCAGAGTCCGTCAGCGTTAAGGTCTGACTGTACAAATATTTGTAATTGCATGCTGGTCATTTCTGACACACAACTGCAATAAGTAATCCATGCTACAACACACTTTCTCCAGCTTCAGGGATCCAGAAGAGACCTGTTTTGATCTCCATATATTAGAGATTCAAATACAGTAGAGATTTAAAATATTAATTGATAAGCTTTATTGTATCCTGTCAGATAGTCTACGTAAGATTTCTAGAACCCCAAATTACTCTGGCGCTCTTTTCAGAACCCATTCCCTCTCCTCCCCCCCCGCCCCAGTTGACACCACAACTGGAGAGAGTAGTGGCTCTTCGCTACTCCTTGTATACATTGAGAGGTCAGAGGATAGTCCTTAGCCCTTCTACTCAAAGCTTCTGTAGTTGATTCTAGCACAGCTCTCCCACTCTTCTGACATTTTTTGAGTGAAGACTACTATCTTTGAATGTGACTGATTTCTGTACAATGTTAGCAATTCGTTATGTTAAAATGCATTAAAACAATGTATTAAAACAGCCTCACTAAACACCCTGACTACTCTTTAAAACTGAGCATTTGGTGTAATCCAGAACCCAAACCTCCAAGTTGTGTCCTCTTCATACTATCAGGAATGTTATTCTCTGCCTGTCACTGACATAGCCTACTAGAAGACAAGAAAGATCCTCATAGCACATCAAAAACTTCCTCCCCCATTTCAATTATCTTTTGAAATCATCTGGATAGTTGCTGAACTACTTCATACACACAGTGATTTTGTACTGCTTGTTGTGCAACAGATTATGTCCAGTGATGCCAAAAAGCCTAAAGTCTATCATGTAATATACACTTTCTTCAAATAGATCAGACTTCAATATGTGTTTAACTCCAGCAATTTTCATTAAAATCATAATGTTGAGATGCTTGAGTTATGCTGTCATCCTTTCATGCATTTACTGGCAGCAAACCCATGAGCAGTCCCACTGATTCTGTCTTGTTCCACTATCAAGCTTGCCAACCTACCACTACATGGACACAGTTATTTTTTCTGATCGCTTAGTATTTTCTCAATGTTCATGAAACATCAACAGCTTAGACCAGGCACATTACCCAGTCCAATGGTAACGGGCACAAGCTATTTGTTTTCAAGAATCTGAAAACATTTAGACAGCACTGCTTCTCAACATCTCCCCAGTTATTATTGTAGTAAGAGGATTTCTACAGAAGTGTGAACTGTAAATGTGTTATTTTGCTTTTTACCCAACTAATACCCAGGGACCTAGAAAACACAGGTGTTCAAAATTAGGGTGGAAATACATAACTGTATTTTTACCTTTTATCATCTAGACCTGTGGCTGGTTGAAGACCTAGGCCATTATTAGCATTGTTTTCATCCCTCCAATTAGTTCCCAACTCCTTACTCCTAACCCTACTGGGTTACAGGTTTTCCATGTTTATGTTTAACTTTTCAGTAACATTTTAGCAGATACGTCAATAGTGCAGGTGCACAGAGGTACTCTGCAATCTTTATACCATGCATTTATCTCGACACACATTGCTTACCTTCAGTCATATTACACGGCTCATTTCTGTCCCAAAGTTCCTAATCATGTAGTTTGGTCATATTAAGCAGACAGACAAATTGAATTAAATTACTTGCATTAAATGGTGAAGCCATTCTGAATTATACTACATGGACCAAAGATGCACTGCAATGGTTAAAAGATGATAAGAACAGGCCATGCTTCAGATAACCAAAACCAGGTATTGTATCTTTCCCTCAAGTCCCAGCCCTTGAAACTTGCTACCTGGGGACTCTGACATCCAGTCAATATATTGCTTCAATGAAGACAGTGCATTGTCAGCAGCACGAGTGTCAGCATGGCAACATCATGCTCTGCTGATGGATCACTCAAAGGCTTCATCCTCCAACAGCACTCAGACATGAAGCTCTGTCATTTGTAGCATACCCATGTTTCCCTAGCAGGCACCAATAAAATGCTTTTGTTGCCTTCTATCCAAAACCTAGATTGGGCTTTGCTATTCCACAATCTAGCCTCATGCTGGCTCTGGTACTGAACAGCAACAGCAGCCTGACTTGCTCAGCCTGTAAGATACAAATTTGTGTTTTGGGATAGATTGCAACTGTAAAAATAGATTACATAATACCCATTACATAACAGTTAAAACTAAGTTTCAGAAGCAAGACAGATCCAATTTCTTTCCTATTCTGTACATATTAGACTGAGCAGCGCTGTTAAAAATCTAGATCTAATTCAAAGATGGGCATAAATTTGAAGAATGCCTACCAGAACGAGTATCTATGACGTATCTAATCAGTTTGACAACATGGAAAAAAGAGGTTGAGCAATTTGAAAGTATATTCATGATGTGAGAAGAGCTCAATGAAATTTTGGCCTGCAGCAGACAGATTCCACGAGAAGCAACAGGGATGCAACTGTCCCCTTCAGCGACATGTCGTATATCACAGAATCATAGAATCGTTTAGGTTGGAAAAGACCTTTAAGATCATCCAGTCCAACCATTAACCTAACACTGCCAAGTCCACCACTAAACCAATTAAGGGCAGAGTAATAATTTCATGTTTCCTGGCTTGGTGGCTGGATTATTTTTTAGTGAAAGTAAAAACTAGTAATCAATAAGGTTGGAAAGGATCTCCCAGATCATCAGCCCAACCATCAACCCAACACCACCATGCCCACTAAACCATGTCCCAAAGTGCCACATCTACCCATTTTTTGAACACTTCCAGGGATGGGGACTCCACCACCTCTCTGGGCAGCCTGTTCCAATGATTGACCACCCTTTCCATGAAGAAATTTTTCCTAATATCCAATCTAAACCTCCCCTGGCACAGCTTGAGGCCGTTTCCTCTCATCCTATCACTAACTACTTGGGAGAAGAGACCAACACCCACCTCACTACAACCTCCTTTCAGGTAGCTGTAGAGAGCGATAAGATCTCCAGTCAGCCTCCTCTTCTCCAGACTAAACAACCCCAGTTCCCTCAGCCGCTCCTCGTAAGACCTGTGCTCTAGGACCCTTCACCGGCTTTGTTGCCCTTTCTCTGGACATGCTCTAGCAATTCAATGTCTTTCTTGTAGCGAGGGGCCCAAAACTGGACACAGTATTTGAGGCACAGCCTCACCAGTGCCGAGTACAGGGGGACAATCACTTCCCTGCTCCTGCTGGCCACACTATTCCTGATACAAGCCAGGACGCTGGTGGCCTTCTTGGCCACCTGGGCACACTGTTGGCTCATGTTCAGCCGGCTGTCGACCAACACCCCCAAGTCCTTTTCCGCCAGGCAGCTTTCCAGCCACTCTTCCCCAAGCCTGTAGCGTTGCATGGGGCTGTTGTGACCAAAGCGCAAGACCTGGCACTTGGCCTTGTTGAACCTCATACAATTGACCTCAGCCCATCAATCCAGCCTGTCCAGATCCCTCTGCAGGGCCATCCTACCCTTGAGCAGATTGACACTCCTTCCCAGTTTGGTGTCATCTGCAAACTTACTGAGGGCAGACCACCAGTTATAGAAAAGAATAATGATGACAAAGAGAGTTCTGAAAGAGTGAGCAAGCAATTGACAGGCTGAAAGACTCCACTTAGAAGAGCAGTATTCCATGTAGGTTGGGCAAAAGTGAGATCAAACAATTCAAGAGTACTTGTAAGTGTCTGACAGAAACACGAGAAAGTTACTATCATGAGTAAAAGGAACATAACTGAAGTAATGAGAAGAAACAGAGGAAGAAGTTTAGAATGAGTATCAGAAAAAAGTCTTCCTATAGTGAGAAGTAAGGTTGCAAGCTCTCCCACTGCCCAGAGAAGTAGCAACATACCACTATTTAAATGACAAATGAACACCAAGAATGCATAACAGGATGTGATTTGTAAGCAAATTATTTGAACAATCAAGTAAGTCTGAATTCTACCACTACCTAATCAAATTTAATCTAGAATACATTATTTGTATGGCTTAACACTGCTTCAAGACAACATGGCACTGCCTGTTTGTCTGGGAAAGAAAAGCAATAGAGAGCACGTCCAAGCAGCTTTGATTAGGATCACACTTTATGGAGGCTTTCCATCTTGTTGTGAGCACACAATCTGCTCTCCATTGACTCCATTGTGGAAAAATTCAGGCAAACAGAAATTCTTTTTTTCCAATCCAAGATGAATAAAATGTAAAAGTAGCCTCCCAAAGAAGGTGGCTGCACATCTTCATTACCTTCTTTGAAGTATGAACCATACTATGCATTAATACTAGCCTCACTTACAAATCCTCAAGATTATTGTCGTTTTCCCCTATGCCCTGCTCACTTTCCATAGGCTGTCAACCTTGAGTCTATTTCACTGATATTTCAATTACCTTTTAATGGAGACATCCAGATCCTTCAGGCAGTCCACAATCGTGCTTCTATGCCGCTGTACTGCATTATGGTCTGTCTGCACAGTTTTCAACAATGACGTCAAAGCTACATACCTGCGATAAGGACATACGGTAATAAATAGCTGACAGTAGGCATTGAATTTCTATGCACAGATGCTCACAGCCCCAAAACTTAGTCTTATTTTGCAACAGAACAGGATTTTCTTGTACTCAGTAATGAATGGAAGTCTTCCAGGTGACTGCCTGGCGTGTCTTCAAAGGTGAGTTACCATACTAAACCGTAACATGCCCAATAACATCCTGCTGCCCAGACAAGCACCCGTCCCAATTCCTGGGCTCATGTCAGTTGTCCAGTCTTCACAAAGGTTTTGAAAAGACAGGGCAATTAGACCCCCGCAGATCATACACTCAAACTAGTGTGAGTTGCAATTCCCAAGGTTAGTCTTCTACATATACCATGATTTGCAATCAAAATGCCTAGAGATGGGACTTAATTCTAGCAGTTGCAGCAATTCCATGTTCAGATTCATAGCAACCAAAGCACACCTTCCTTCCTGCCAACAGCACACAATCAGAAAAAACAGTCTTTGCCTAATTTGCCAGATCTCCAATGCCAACTCTGATTTGAATGTCACCACAGACCAGCTGGGACAAGATAGGAGATTCACAGTTTATTGGAAAAAACACTTGACTAGATTAAGAAATCACATGTTAAGAATTCGATCATACACCCAGACTCATCAACTGAGACGGCAGGGCCACAGTTAAGGTTTTCACAGAGAAAATAATGCACCAAGAAAGAAGAAAGCTAGACAGTCATACTAACCCAAACAACATTACTTCCCAATGTGGTCTCCTGGAAAGCTCTACTTCAGCATAATCTTTGTGTAATTGCTTCTCTCACATTTTAAACTGGGTGTTGCCAAAACACACTTCATACAACTTACCTAATATTTTTGTCGTTGTTTAATAAGAAACGGCCTAGGATGTTAATGGCTAACACCTGCAGAAAGAGTTAGGGAAGGTCAGTGATCAAAAAAGACTGCTGGTCATCTTCGCTGTTTCAAGATGATTTTAAAGGCAATGTGTCAAAGCTACCATTGCAGTTCTTGGCCAAAAGCATAACACAGAACACTCAAAGCTGACTAAGCAGAGGAAAAGGTAAGACAAACACAGCACAGGCTCTCTCCTGCACTCAAAGCAACACAGTCTACAGAAAGTTTTGCTTGTTTTTGTTATTTTTAAAAAAAACCACACCACTTTCTGAAGAGGCTACAGTCTTAACTAGAGCCAACCGCGGAGCTATGTTTGGGTGAAACAACTTTTCTTCATGTCCTCTACACACATTACTCTAATACAAGCCTAGGGAAAAAAAAAAAAAAAAGGCCATAAAGGCAACTTACTCTCAGTCCACTCTCAGATTTTATGTCCATAATAGTCAGCACAGTTTCATAGAGAATGGCATTTCCCACGTTCTTACTTGTTTCTGTATTAGTGGCAACCTGGAGAAAAGAAACAAAATAAGTGACTCCAACGCATCCAAAACAGATCCCCTTTATGCTGTTCTGCAGAACAGGCAGTGAAACTAACCAATCCCTAGCAAACAAGCATCACACCTATGAACATGTGTCTCTTGCAGCAAAATTCAACCCAGCATAGCAACCAGCTGTATCCTCACCAATGCTGCTGAATCCAATTTATTAAGAAACCAAAAGAGAGAAAGTTTAAGCTGCTCATCAACCTTGCAGACCTCACCTGTGCAAGTATATCATTCATTGCTTCACTAGAATCATCATCATTTCGCCCTAAAATTCTTAGTAACCGCAGGATTCGTACCTATTGGACAAAACAAAGCAAAGAAAATCTCACTGGATGGCAGTGTTTTACATGGGGGCCATGAAATGCCCAGCACACTTCCTGAGGAGTGGCAAAGAAGCAAAACAAGCTGCTGGTTTCCATTCCTAAGCAAAATGCTTATCCTTAATAAGAAAGACCTTTACCAACAAGAACAGGCTTATACTGGGCTCATTTTCTTCCCACTAGACAAAACTGTTAAGAGTACCCCCACTACCCGCAGCCTTGCAAGACCAACACGCATTGCTGCTTCTCCCTTTTGTCACAACTTCACATAATATGATCAGGCACTACAACTGCTGTTTAAATTAAGGCAGGTGTCTTTCACTAAGGTGGATGAAGAGCATTTGCACAATCAGCTCTAACAAAGACACAAAATCTTAAAATCAACACAGCTGCTCCAAGGTAACCACCTCATCATACCTAAGTCTCAAAACACAGTACTAGAATTAAACCTATCAATCATTGTTTGCATCAGTTCTTACCTGCAAAAAGGGGTCACTGATCCCAGACACATCATGCTCTGGTGAATATCCAGACATGATAAGGTTCTTCAGAATACGAACTAATTGGGGAACAAGCTGTGAAAAAGAGAGTTGTCCTATTAGGGTGTTGTTCCTTCCACACCCCACCTTTGAAGTACAGGTCCAAGAACAAATCTTGTATTTGAGAGCAAGTCAGTCTATTGATTCTTCCACAAAGTTCAACCTGCACATCTACAGCTGATGTTATATGAACACCTACAGCTTAGCTAGAGCACAACTAGAAGCAGTTAAGCTGGGACCTGAGCACCATATTGTATCTTTAAAGTACTAAATCTACCAGAGGTTGGCAGTTGAGACCCGAGAGGAAATACCAATTTAAATTCCTCTCTTCGTGAAAAGTGGATGTGCCGGAACTATTAAAATGGTATAATTCCAGGACTTCACTTGGGGGCTTTACATTAGCTCCTGATTCATTTTTAGCATACATCTCCATGGAAGCATCAGGCATAGCCAAGAGTTTTGATCTTTTCAAGTACTGTACTGCTATGATTAGAATAAATTATTAACAGTTCCTTCAAGTTTGACACTCCATCCAACTTAGCTTCTAGAAAGAAAAGCTTTGTGATTGGGTTTCCCTCCAAGAGTTTCCAAATAGGACAGAGAATGGACTTCCCTCCAGCCTTCACCCAGGGCCCTATTGTTAGACTACTACTTCCCTGCAAGTACCTCCAGAGCTCTCCTCCTCTTCATCTCAAACTTAGCAACACTAAACTGACCAAATTCTTTGCTTCACTGCTGTTAGAAGGGTTCCGCATAACAGCGGAGAAACTGATGGAAGTACTGCTACTATGCCAGATTCAGGAGCACAAAATCCTATCAGCTTACACTGTTCATGTTTTAAAGTTTCTTTCCAACTGTGCAGGCTAAAACACTTTCAGAAGCTGTCTCTCAGTACCAGCAGTACTGGTCTCACAGCAGACATCTACCCATAGGAATAAGATATCTTTCAAGACTTGTACACAGCTTTGAAGAAATGCTACCTAGTTGCAAAAGTTTGGTTCAGTTCCCTCCATCTTAGGCACCTCTAGTGATGCACTTCATCTGTCAGGGCAACTCTTGAGGGACTGTAATAGAATTTGTCCATAGTATCTCACACATGCCAAGCAAGTAATCAGTTTGGGGCAGAACATGGCAAACAAGCCAATCATTAAAGCAGACGAGCTGTAACAAACTTATTATTTATCTCCAAAAAACTTCACAACAGCTATGAGTAACAAAATAGCCTCAGGGATGAAATGGAAGCTCATTTCCTATAAAAAAATCTTAAGGTTGAAAGACAGAAACTGGACTAATTGTCATGGAACTGTAAAAGAAAAACCACTCCTGGTGGATGATGTAGTGTCCTGGTTTCAGCTGGGATAGAGTTAATTTTCTTCCTAGTAGCAGGCACAGTGCTGTGGTTTGGATTTAGTAGGAGAAGAATGTTGATAACACGCTGATGTTTTTTAGTTGTTGCTCAGTACTGCTTATGCTAGTCAAGGACTTTTCAGCTTCCCATGCTCTGCCAGTGGCACAAGAAACTGGGAGGGGGCACAGCCAGAAGAGTTGATCCAAAATGACCAAAGGGCTAGTCCATACCGTGTGACGTCATGGGCAGTATAGAAACTGGGGGGGTTGGCCGGGGAGCAGCGATCGCTGCTCGGGAACTGTCTGGGTATCGGTCAGCGGGTGGTGAGCAATTGCATTGGGCATCACTTGCTTTGTATCTTATTATTATCATTACTATTTGACTTTATTTCAATTATTAAACTGTTCTTATCTCACCCCAGGAGTGTTTCTCACTCTTACTCCTCCAATTCTCTCCCCCATCCCATCGGGGTAGGGGGAGTGAGCGAGCGGCTGCGTGGTGCTTAGTTGCTGGCTGGGGCTAAACCACGACATGTAGAGAGGTACATCTCTACAAGCTTTATTCCTTCCACAGAAATTTTCTTCTATTAAAATAATCCAGACGCTGGCTGGAGATGAGGTGACAAACTAGACAGAGGCGTTACAGTGGCTGCACTAAGTGGATTTTTCATTCCTGAAGCATGGCTAGCACCAGGACAGCATCATTCTTTCTCTCAACTCCATGCATGACAATTACAGTTTATCAAAACGTTCTCTACAAAACCCAACAATTCACCCTTAAGACTTAACACGTTTCCGTCCTTGAGATGGGCTGCTCCTGCATTCGTGTATGCCTACTAAGAGTCAGGGATTGCATTCACACTAAATTTTTACCAGATCAGAGATTGCTTATAATGAAGTTGCCACTTCTGACAACATCAACTCAAGACAGTGCTTCAGATTCAGGACAGGTAGTAGCAGAAGGTGCCAAAAGCACAGTGTGACTTATATAGCACAACAGCTGCACGTGGACATACTAAATGGGCAATGTTTTCTGGACTGAAGTCCTCTACATTTGTGGTACAGTGCAACAAGAAAATCAGCTGCATTTCCCCATCATCTCTTTTTATTCCTACCTTCGCTCTTCAGGAATTACATACTCTCCTGAAAACGTGCATTTCATAAAACACACAAAAGGAACCATGAATTTCCTATTATCTGCCTTAAAGAGGAAAACAAAGGATGCTGCAACATCTTCCCTCAAGACAGAGTACCAAACAAGTGGAGCGACTTGCTGGAGCATTCCTGGAACCCTGATTAACATTTTCTTTGCTTTCTAACGTGCAAGAGTTATCAGGACTGAGGACAGGACAAACAAAGGGAAACGTTACAGCCATGGAGACCGGTTGAGGGCCACCCCCTCAGTCTTCTGTAGTCAAATTACACCCATGAAAAATATCAGCAATGCAGCTGAACTCAGTAGCTCTTTGCAGCACAGTAAGCCCACTTACAGGCGGCCAAGTAACTGTCTCTCCTGCTCCCTTTTGGGAATCACCCAAAGTTGCCCCATGATTCAGGCAAAACACAAAGCCCAGTTTGTGATAAAAAGAAAGCCCAGGGCTACAGTTTGCATAGGCACAAAAAAATTCCCTGAAGTATTCCTCAAATGAGAGGGAGCTTGAGGAAAGCAGGCTCATGTTTTGAGAAGGCCACAACTGAGATTCACGGCTGCCACGGGTATAGAGGTTTAGTGACAGGACAAGACCAGCACACAAAAAACATTAGACAAGTGCAATTGATCTAAGCACGTGGCATCAATCACAAATGTGGCATTAAGAGGCACTGCCTCACAAGAGACAAACATCTACAGATTCAAAGCAAGCATGCACCATCTAGAAGAATTAACTCTTACCTTTTCATTCTAACACACAGCAGGATTCCAAACAGACAAAAGGGACAAAACAGACGAAGCAGGCATTAGGGATGGATCAATGTTATACCATTCACAGCATAAACTACAGGAGATAACTAGAAAAGAATGTACCTAGTACCTAAATTTTGTGGACTCAGCTTATCTCTCTTTTCCTATGACTATCATCTTAACTGAGCAATTAGTAGCAGGGATGGCTACCTTCAAGATGACCCTAGTCCCACTTTCGTTCCTGCTCTGACATATACAGTCAGGGCAAGGGAAGATGCATGCCAAAACACTATGATGCATCAAAGGATGTACTGTTTGAAATCCCTAATGATATAGGCAAGCTAAGGAAGAACAGTAAACTGGGCATGCAAATAAACAAACACCTTTAAGACTTTTCAGAGGAGCAAATGGCCAGTTCTGTTCTACCAGCTTTGTTCAGTTTCCCCTGCTTTGACTAAGAAGTCACAATGACATAATCATTGCAATTTTCAAATGCCCTTCTATTCGTAGTCTTTCATATGGCAATAATACTGCACAGGAAATTATAGTAAACAGCATAAGGAAGTTTGTGCTGCAGGGGGGTGGGAAAGGAGAAGCAAACATTCCTAATCAGAGGAGGAAGAGTGGCATTGACTCTCAAACTCTTAAGTTAAAATGGAAAATGATGTAATATAGCATGCACCAGAGATAAGGTATTTACATAACTGGAACTCCCATTGGTATTTTTGACCTGAGTTTATAAAATTGTGTGGCTGTGGTTAAGGCACATTGGTATAAGCCTCAGTTTTTCATCTTTGCCTCTTTATGTTTAATACATTTGTGATTCCAATGTCACTATGCAATTAGCTACAAAGACTGGAAAAAACCTTAAGGGAACATCAAAGAGGACACTTTACATCTAACTTTAGGATGAGTTTCACACTGTAGTGTCTTAAGACTGATGTTTTGTAACTTACCCACTTATTGAAGGGGATTAGGGTTAGATACACACAAAATTCCCAAATGTAATGATTTTTAAAAAGTTTTGATAACAAGGAGACAGTATCATTAAATTCGTCACCCAAACAGTTGTAAGGATTTTATTAAAAGATGTGCACGCTCCTGTCACTAGGGAGACTAAGAGGACACATTAATTTAAAAACAAAACAAAAAAAACCCCAAAAAACCACACCACACAAAAAAAACCCAAAAAACCCCACCCAACAAAACCTCCCAACCTACCACAAACAAAACCATGAATATTAACTCTGCAATATTATCAACTCACACTTACCTTTCTAAAGTGTGCAAGCATGTCTGGGCTTCTCTCACACATCTCTGTAAGGAGGACAACTGATGTGTGAAGAACACCTATAGGTGAGCGGGGAAAAAAGAAAAAAGTATCTACATTTAACATAATTTCAATAGCTCCAGACATGTGACAAACATCATAAAGAAACAATAGGAAATCATTAAAAAAAACCCATTATTTTTGAATCCAACATATCTACCCCAAAATATATTTGCACTTGCAGCTGTACCCAAGGGAAAGCAGATAGCAATGTACTCATGTCTTAAAGCTGCAACTAAAAACCAAAGGAGGAGGGAAACTGGACTTTGTCTGCAGAACCCTGCATACTAAATACGCAGTCAGACAGTAACAGACACAGTTGGACTAGATGATCTTTAAGGTCCCTTCCAGCCCAAACCATTCTATGATTCTATACAAACATAAGACTCTAGAAGGACGATATGTATTAATTGCATTGTAGGTGTTGGGTTCCTCACGCTTCCTGATTTTCTCTTCCAATTTGGATACCCTAGCCAACCTTATGTGACCTGAATTAGACCTTCCTCAGAAGGTCTCAGAACTCAGTCTAGAGAAAGACTATAGCAGACTGCTTGGCCAAGCCAGTGTCTGTGCATTGGCAGCCAGCTGCTGTGTGCTCTGCCTTAACAAAACCCAGTCAAAGTGCCTCTGAAAATAAGTTAGAAAAGGCATGTCAGCTACCAACCATTTAACTAGATGTCAACGCTAAATAGCCTGTGATATATAACCTTGTAAAGCATGAAACTTCAACAATGAGCATTACTTTACACATGCGTTCAGCTGTAACACAGCAATCCTTCTCAGATGCTAACTTTTTCAGTTATTAATTTTCTGTAGCTGTTAAGTCTGTACTGGAGAGCTCCTGACTCAGAGACTAGAAACCTGCTTAACAAGCAATGTTTTCTGCAGAGAAGATGACATTTATATTCCACAAGCTATGCAGCTTTCTGACCTATTGCAGGGTCTATCCAAAATCTGTTCTGAAGATAGATACATAAATATCTATCTATAAAGCTTGTGTCACAGCTTTCTTAACACTGACACTGCTTACTTATCACTAAGAGCTCCCAAGAGGCTGCTAAAAGGGTGTCATATATATTCTGCTTCAGAGAAAGCTCAAGAAAAAGCCCATGGCTAAGATTGGTGGAAAGGAGATATTGATTTTTAAGGATGAGGAAAGCAGAAAGGATGATCTGGTTCTTGAATTCAGGTGAGCCTAGACTCAATTCTCTGCTTGGCCAAGGCTGGAAGAGGAGCATTCCCATCTTTAAAGAGGGAACAGAACAGCTCTCAGATTTTCAGGGTTGCAAGAGACAAAGACAGAGGATCTCACACTACCAAGTTGGATGATGTAGTCATCACTTACTGACAAAGAGTCTTACAGACCATTGCCTATTTGAAGCAGTGCCTGGTCTAAACATTCTGATCATCACGTTTTACATCAAGGTAAACTAGCTGCACACACACAAACTACATTCCACATGCAAACTGCCCTGTACCTCAAAGGTTTACAACACATGCAGGGGAAAAAACCAAAACAAAACAAACCACCCCACAACGAAACAAACAAACAAAAAAGAAACAGTAACTTCTCAGGAAGCTGCTGTGGCCTGTTTAGCACTGCTACAACTACCCTGTCTCAAGACAGACCTTCTCCCTGTAATGGGTTTTCAGCACTGCAAACATCTACTATAGAACTCCTAGTACACCAACCTATTTTCTTAAGGCACATGCTCATTGCAGATGTGCCATAGTCCTAAGACTTTGAGAGGCAAGCAGTAGGCTTGACACACATTAGTCAAGGTGTTAAATATTAGAATTTCTCTTTAAATAATTTTCTAGAAGCACTTGTGCAAGAAAATGCATTAAAACAGAATAATCTTGCAAAAGACTATTGAAGTGAGAATCTGTTTCATGATGTAGTTCTGATAAAAAATAGCACTGAAAAAAAAAAATCTTTCCTCGCAGTGATGTAAGTATATCAGTCCTGGGAATGCCTGCTAGAATGTCAGAGAATCCTATAGGGCTGTGCTAATGGGAGAAAAAAACCCAACCAAACCCTAAAAAGTGCACTTCAGAGTCCCTTTAGGCAGCGTATTGAATAAAAATCACAAACTTTCCTATTCTACCTACTCTGAAAAGTATCAAAAAACAGTGAAAGAGTTCCTCTCACTGAGTGCCATGTAAAAGTCCTGCTGACTAGCAGTCATACACATCCCTTCCTTTTGAATGACATTTGCTTTCACGGCATAGAAATGGGAAGAAATAGATCATACAAATACACCTCAAATGTTCCTTCCAAACAAAAGGTTTAGGTAGCAAGTGCACTATCCCATAAAGAATGGCATAACCTTGCTAAGCAGAGTCTCAGATATTACCATGGTTCTTCTCATTCAGCAAGTTTTTGGTGGCTGGCAGGAACATCTCCATGAGTTCAGGCACCTTTCTAATAACATGAACAGCACACAACGCTGCCTGTACAGGAAAAACAGCTCTGTTAGTACACACTGTAATGACAATGATACATGTTTTAAGAACATCCAGCACAATGGGAACTATTACAAATTTTGTGATATACAAAGGCCTAGAAAGTTTATGGTACATTTTTCTCTCTCTCTACTATGAGTGACACTAAACAGCATCACAGAGAAGGTTCAATAAAACTACCACAAGTGTGGGGGGGAAGCACTGAGCTACAAAGTAATACTCCTACTAGCAATGGCTCATTTTTACATTATTCAGTTCAGAAGCGATATTAACTGCAATGCAGTTCTGCCTTTAATAGGGCTACTTCAATCTGTCTTCCTGTTGCTAAGGATGGGATAATGCATTGGAAGCAAATTATGAAATTTATGTCAAGCTTATGGCTCATTTTCTTTCCCTTGAATATCATATCCTTCCCCACAAAATAACTTCCTCCTGTAGTTGATGGGTCCTATGAAAAACAAAAGCATACTGCAAAAAAAATTGCCTACTTCTAGGGTGCAGAAGCAACAGGAGACACTATTCTTTGCAGCTGCTTGAGAATCAAGTGCACTGAGGACCTCTTCCCAGAATATAGCAATACCTCTTAGCATTACTTTCTCTCCAATCTCCCTCTAGATCCAGCACTAGACAAAGAAGCAACAATGCATCTCTTCCTAAATCTTACAGCTTCCCACCCTCCCCAAGACTTAACAATGAAATAAATTTAAAAGAACAAGGGTGATTACACTTTGCAGATGCCACGGCACACTTGCTCTCGAAATGAGACAATTTATAATTGTTTGCCCATTTCAAGCCCTAAACCTTTCTATTTCACATACTACTGTCATCATCATCAACAGGAGAGATCAAACAGGTTCAAATATTCAGGTATCAGCCTGCACTGTTAATGATCAAAGTTTCTCTAGACTTATTTGAGAAGATATAGAAATAAAACTGATGACTAGAAGTTTGGGGTTAATGTCTGTGAACAGGCAGGTGTTCACATTATCATCAAAAACCTTAAGGTAGAGAGTATCGAAACAGAAACAACTGCCTCACCTGTTGGAGGCCTGTCTTTTAGAGGCTTACACACAATCCTGCTATAGATAGACAGGGATTTTTGACCACTATCAGTCTTGCACACCAGGAAAACGCTCAGCCAGTGTGATCCAAGCCATCTAGTATTCCAGGTATTAGCAAGGTATCCAATCAATCTTGAGTTTTAATCCATAACAAAGTATTCAAAGTTCCCTAAAGTACCTTCTTCCTAAGATAGGAGTTGGAAGTTTTGAGGAGCTTTTCCACCTCTCCTGCAAGGTCTCTGCACATTTCTGAGGAGCCCATGCAGCCAAGAGTGCAGAGTGCCAGCCCCTGCACATATTGCGTGCTGTGATTAAGGTCACTGTAAAGGAGAACAAAAACAAACAAAAAAAAAGCCAATCAGCATGCACACAGAGAACCTGAACACACAAGAAAAGGCATCTATATCTACAGTTATCTAACCAGCTCCACAGATGGCCCAGAAGAACTCTCCAGATTCTCAGCTATTTGGGAGCACAACTTAGGGGCAACACCAGCTTTGAGTGCATGTACCACAGGGTTTGCTACCACTTCTACTTAGAATCCTCAATTATAAAGACAAAACACTTGGTTAAAACTATCAGGTGGGTATCTAGGGATTGAGCTGAGAAGAGGGAAGACCACACAGAATTCCATTAAATTTCTGAAGTAAAGACAAAATGTTGTATTTTGGAACTTGCATGCAGAAAAGAACCTAACATGAAGTACAGTCCTGCAGTGACTCCGTGGGTTGTCCCAGTTTAAACATGTTCTAGGATAGGCTTTAGCTTCTGCATTTACAAACCAAACAGTATATAAAAATCTATGTAAAAATATCCTCTACGCTGAGTAAAAACCACAAACCCCATCACTTGCACACCTTGGAAAACAATCCATACAGGAATTTTGTTTAGCAATCCTAGCTATTCATATGCCTAAGGAAGCTGTGAAAAGCTGTCAATAAGAAGTTAAACCACCTAACAGTAGATGCTATTCATGAGGCCAGCTACCAATGTCACACTAGGCACAAGACAATATAGCTTCCACATGGCAACCAACAGCCTTTGAAACTGATTTCTACACTCCCATCAGACTATTTGGTACTCATGTCACCACAGTATCCAGGATTCAATGTTGAAGAAAGCAAAAAAATATGGTTCCTGGTTTGGGAGGTGAGCTAGCGATTGCGTGATGGGTGAGCAGGGGAAATGAGTGGTATGTAAGCAAATGCGCACAACATGCAGAAAAGCAATAGACAGTATTCTTGTTGTAACATCAAGCAGCTATGGCAACATGCAGATGAAGGAACAGACAGCACACGCCACTAAATGGGTTGGTTTTTTGTTTCCTTCCTTTAACAAATTTTTGGCAGCTATATAAAGCTATGTGTATAGCAAGTATGTGCTTCACAAGGGTGCTCACTACTTTTTGTATCAAAATTCTAGGTCTTGGTATAAAATAACGAAAGACCATGCCATAAATCAAATACCTTAATGTCTAGATAAAAGCAAGACACAGTGGTAGCTAGAGAAGCCAAAGGAGAAAGCAATAAACAACCCACTGAGGTGGGTGAGAAGTTGTCCACTAGTTTTGCCCAGCTTCAGTCTGACCCATTTCCAGTTCAAACTCACTACACCCTTGCCACAAAAATGCATTTAGCATAAACAATCAAAAGAGGTGTTAACCTAGCAGCCTGGTTCTAATGGAGGAGCCTCACAGGTATGACATTTCAATGAAAAATCTTTAGCTAAATGTCTCTTCTCTCCTGGGCACCAGATCCAAAATTAGCAGGTCCTCAGGCCCGCAGTTCTGTCAAGTTTCTTTCCAAGCACTTTGAGGCCACAGTCTAACTGAAGATCAATAATTTACTTGCTAATATCTGGGAGGCTTATGTTCTATAAGTAAATAATAATAAAAACAAAACACACCACACACAACCAAGCAGGCATTTGGATAAATCAACTGGAACCCAGTTGTTCCACTCCTGCTCCCATCCATCTTGAAAAGGAGTGTTATTGGAAATGTTATCAGTCACCATCTACTAAACTATAATGTAAAACAGTCCCAGTTTAACAGCATTTTGCTGAGAGAGAAAAGTGGAAAAAAAAAATATTATTTCCCACCCCCTCTTCATCTTGATTTCAGCAAGATGCCAAGCAGACCGCACATCCCAAGTTGCTGCCTTGCTTCCAAGGAAAACCATTCATCAGGACCATTAGTCCAACCTTAAAAAGAAAGCAGGATACACAGCCTTGATCCTTGAAGTCAGACGACTCTTCAGAGCTCGTCAGCAGAAGTCAAGTAAAGAAACACAGGACCACATGGCTGCAGCAATATATATGACACTGTGACATATGATGGCCAGTCCAGCCTACAAAGTTTTAACAGTGTTATAACAACATCCTGATTCAATCATCTTTAAAGGTGCATGGACCTTTACTGACGCTGTTATTACTGCTCACCTGGCTCTTTCCTACTGCAAGCTGGAAGATAACTAATTTACAGAAATGGAAGAGAGTTCTTTACAACAATTAGAGGCCTTCTGCACTGGCTGAGCAGCTTACTGTGGTTAATTTCATCTTCCTGATTTTATTTATCTTAACATGACCTCCAGAAACACCTACTACCATTCTGTAACAGTAGTTACATGAAGTGTTGTTTGCCACGTACACCTCTTCAGGACCAATGCAATTTTATATTCTCTTCCCTCTAAGGAAGCTAGACAGGATCATCCAATACAGTACAATACTAGAACGGTCTTGTATGGTCAACAGCATACAACAAATTGAAGATACCAGTTTTCTAACACAAGGGAAAAAAACCTAAAGTACTCAAAATATCACTGTCAGGAGTGTACTTTCAGATCCTGAAACCTCAAAGCATGTGTTGATGGAGAGAGAGGTGGTACCCTTACTTCTTGATGCAATTGGTCATAAGAAGATGGACATCCTGTCTCTCATCCAGCAGCAACATGGCACCTAAATACCCAATGCGCTTGTCTGTGAATTTCTGAGAGGCAATGAGCTTGAGGCACTCCAACTGGAAAAAAAAAAAGGAAAAAAAGGAAAAAAAAAAAAAAGACAGAATTAGCTTAAACTACTTAGCTAGAGAAGAAACAGTTTGAATTTTGTTGTTTACTTATTTAGGTGTCTCAGAATGCATTTTTAAAAGTATATTTTATTCCCATTTTGGTGATGTGGAAAACACAAGAAAGGTTAAATGACCGGCCCAAAGCTCCCAGCAAGCCAGCAGGAAAGTCATTAGCAGCTCCTGCATCTTGAAGTAGCCAGACACTGTTGGCCTTCCATGACCTCAGATATACCAGATATGTGCGTTTATGTCAGATCACAAAAGTAAAAGATAACATATTTATAGAGACAAGAGATCCATCCTTAAAAACAAAATAGTAAAGATCTGGAAATCTAGATGATGTGTCATGTGTGATATGCACTGGACACTTCTGAACCAGGCTTAAATGGGTCCATGGATCTACCAGAGAGAGGATCAATGCACTGTAAGTTAAGTTGTCAAAAACCAGTTTTTGTTTGTGATCTGTAACTAACTTGCTAGCTAGGAAAACCTCAGATACAGTCAGAGACACTTAAGTTTTCGTGCCGCTCTGTAATCTCTATTTGAACACCCGAAGTTTGACTAAAATCATATGCATTGTAGCCACTACAAACTTCCCTTTCACCATGTAGAAAGGTCAACTGTGTTCGATAGCATAAAGGAAATCCCTACAATAACTTGCATAGCTGCCACTCACACTCAGCTGATTAAGAATTTAATTGCTAACCCATTTTGAAACTTAACACTTTCTTACTGCAAAAAAAGGCATCAACCACAGAGATATTCTGACATGAATATGCACTAAAATATTTTTCTCTAACAGATAAGTAATCAAGTATAATCAATCTCTACTTTTCAGACAGGAAGTAGCAGAAATGGCTTCTCAAAACGAGTAAGAGACCTGTCCCTCACAAACACATCCCCTAAATCTGTTTTACAAATTAGCTGGGGCAGTAAGTAAGCATACACAATGGGTTTAAGGAGGGGTCAGACAAAGCTTGCAACAGATCCATTTTAAAGGAAGTAAAGGGGGCATGCACAGGCAAAAAGTTTCTCATGGTCCCTAGCTATAGGGAAGCTTGAACAGGGCAACAGACACAGGTGAGATGCAAAGAAGCACACACACACATCAGGAGGGTAAAGTTGTACAGGATACTGATAAGAAAATTAAAGTTGAAGTGCCAGAAAAAGTAAGTGCTATGGCCTAGCCACTGACAAGTTCTCACAACTGCACAGCAGCAGAACATACAGCTCAACTATGCAAGAAGTTGTCACATATGAACACCCAGCTAGTGGAGGGTGGCAAACTGATAAGAAAAAGCTTGAAAGAAAGCAAGTTCAGTTTGCTAGGTTTAAAGGGGCTGAAAACCTAGAATAAACACCTCTGAACAATAAGATCAGTCATCCACAAAGATAACTGAACTCGCACAAATGGGCAAGATCAACCAGGGATAAGGTACAGAACACTAGGTGTCAAGCTCCTATCTTTCCAGTGCTTTCTGTAAGAGAATAGAATCATAGAATAGAATCATAGAATGCTTTGGGTTGGAAGGGACCTTTAGAGGTCATCTAGCCCAACCCTCCTGCCGTGAGCAGTGAATAACGCACCTCTGAACCAACTTACTTTCTTCCCCAGGTTTACAAGATAGTTTCTTATGCAACCCTTTGCAAAAATGCAGTGTAGAATTGATGACATCTAAGCTACAGTGTAAGAGCCAACAAAGGCACAAGACTAATGACTAAGAAAAAGCAGAAGGAAACTAATGGCTGCTACAGATACTGTAAGATATATTTCTAGTACTTTTGAATTTGAAAGATATTATTGAAATTTACTCCATGAAAGGCTGATGAGTTCTTGTTTCATGTGAATACAAATACATGCAAACTAGCTTCACGCACAGCAATACTGAGAAACATGATCAGCTGAAACTCTTACTAGGTCTAATTAGTAGAAGAAATCTTGATACCATTATATCCATTTCATTCAAAGGAACAATTAAAATCTGCTACACCAGTAAACAGATACATTAGTAAAGCCAGACAAGATACAGGCATAGAGCCAGACTACAACTTACCCAAGTTTTTACTGACATAGTCTCTTCCACCTGAATTTTTTTGCAAGTAGAAGTAACGACAATAAATAATAGTAATAATAATGTTATTTGATCATTTGTCCAGGCTGCCTGACACCTTCTAAACTTGCACGAATGGCCTCTGCACACACTCAAGAGACAGCTTGCCATCCAGTGCATCTCAGCATGCACTGGCTAAATACGGTGCTCATGCTCATATTTCTGACAAGATATCCTGAGTCAAAGTTGAGGACCCCTGGCTTGGAAATAAGCAGATCAACCATCCACTACTTCTGACACCTTCGCTAAATTCTATTTTATTATTGGTTACACCATCCACACTGTTAGCTGAAGTCAGATGTCTGCTTACATCTTTAAGAGAGACTGCCTAAACACAGCCTGTGGCACTCTCCTGTTTTTCACCAAGACATATTTCCTGTGTATTTATCCTGTCACTCTCAGAAACTTCCTGTCTATCTACAAGACTCCACTGCTGGAACAGCATGTGCCTTCAGCAGGTCCCCAACTCATGCAACTATAGTCCACCTACACAACATTAGCCTTTGAAAGATTCCTTCCAGTTATAAGCACTGAGGATGTACAAAGGTCTGCAACTTACTCACTTGGAGAATACTTGTTAAAATCCCTTCTCAGCCTTGGGCCCTATACCTTCCTGAAAGCACAGCTGATAAACTACATGAGAACTGAGGCCATCTAATGAAGTACTCTGTTCCCAAAATAGTCAGCATAGACGCTTCTGTTTGAGATGTAGCAACCCTGGCAATAATAGATATTGAATAGTCTGCTTTATCCTTCTTCCACTAAGAGTGAAGAGGTAATTTATCATTACTGACCAAAGCAGAAACTAAAAAATTATCAGGTATCTGGTCTAATCTTCCATATATGGGATTAAATACTTGAGTAACAAGATAAAATAATCCCAATAAAATTTAAACATACTCCTAACATAGGTCAAATGTAGAAATGCTAGATGACACTTATCTGTAACACTTTTCATTCTTCTTACAGCTCTAAGATACTTAGCCTTAATTTTTGTGACGGGAAGTTTCTCTCTTGGACCAGGGAGCCTGGCTATGTAAGTGTTAAGAACAGGATAATACACAAATTCACTTGCTCTTATGCAACAACTCATTATCCTGTGAGAAGAATCCAACAATGCAGAAGATGATGTACTTTATATGCCATAGCACAGCCCAGACTCACTCCCTAACACTAGGGAATTTGATTTCAGTGGTTTGAGTTTACTGTTTCAGTGAGACATGTCAGGATTAGTAAATCCAATCATGAATGGACAGACTCCCAAGAGATGAAGCTACTTTAAGGGATACAACAATTTGACTGACTTTTTATTTAGCTTTATGGAAGGCCTAGGTTAGATTACTACTAACAGGACACTTACTGACTTCCAAGCAAAGCAGACTATGCCCCAAAGACTAAGCAACGCTCAACCTGAAGAACATCTTGTAGATCAAGCACTCCAGTCTTCCTGTCTCCCCTTTCCACAATCTACCTGTGTCAAAAATAGCACATCAAAAATAAGCCAAGAGATGGAAAACTCATACCAGCACTCTCCAAGTCACCTCACTAAGACTGGGATAAGGAACACCAATTTCTTACTGCTGGGAACAGACCAGCTCTTATCTGCCTAGAATAGATTGCTTTAGAAGGAAAAGGGTATAAAAATTCCTTTGAAGCATCTGGTATTTTCCATCAGACACAGAACTCCAAAATGCTCTTTTGAACACATCTAGAAATACCCATATGTACTGGACTGCGGTTTAAGAACTACTGCTCTGCAGAAACATGGGTGGTGAGGAGCACACAGTCTGGCAAAAGCAGACTAACCCTAAGTTTCATAACAAAATATGTAAGTCTCCAAACAGCAGATCTCACTAACAAAGTCAAAACTAACTAATGTAGGTTCAGACATATGTGAAGATGGACCTCAAAACATCCCAAAGAGCAGACAGCAAAAGTGGAGCTAGGAATGCCCTGAACAAGTCAATGCGCCCAAAACATACAAAGCAGACTGGCATATGCATATACCACAGCAAGCATTGAACTCCGACCTACCTGTCCAAAGTGTGCGGGGTATCCCAGCATGTGCATATACAGCAGCTTTGCCACATTTCTGCATCGGTATGTGTTATCTTCCTCTCGGAAGGATGACCGGATAGCAGCACATTCCTTTTGGATCATCTCACGCTCTTCTGCCTGGGTTCTTGCTGTCCGGATGGTCCGGATCAACTCCCGCAGTCTGATGGGGGCTGGCATCCTCTGGGAGAAAAAAAAAAGAGATCTGTAAACCTTGTACTGTACCTAAAGGCTTCACAATGGTCTCATACTTTCACATATTTTTTTCTTTCCCACCCTACAATTACATAAGTAGAATAATTTAAAAAAATGCAGACTGCTTCAGTAGCATGGTTAAAAGCAAACTTGAAAACCAGAGGAATTCGTTGTACCTCACATTCGCTTTTTCAGAACATTAGAAACAGGAATTGCTGTGCTTTGAGCTAGCTGTCAGGTGAACATAACATGACTCCCCACCTGAAACAGCCAGAAACGGCACTCTGCAAGGTATGCTTTCTTATCCACATCATCTGCCTCTCTCCAGAAAAGTCAGGCTCCAAAGAAAGTTGATCACAAAATCATGACAACTTGGGACAGAAATCCTTTACAAACAGCAATGCTGTTTAATAACTTGCACAAGTTTTCATACAAGTGTTTCAGATAGACATGCTTCATAAATCCTGCAAACTTGTGCCATACACACTTCCTTCTTAGAGGCATGGAAGTCAGCAGAAAAAGTAGATGGAAGAGCAATCCTAGCTGTGTGGATATTTCAGAGAATCCTTTAAAAAAAAATCAAGTTGACACTTTCCCCACCAAACAGAACAATCCTTTCTAAAACACAAAATCCTAAACTAAAGTTGCCAGGGGAGGGGAACCTCAATCCATCCCACTCCTACCAGTTTGATGCCAGTGCCAGCAATAGATGCTCAGAGCCTGGAGAAGGATTACAGGTCAGCAGGAGAGCACCTGAAGAACAGCACAAAGGAATTCCAGCTACTCCAATCAGCTTCATCAGGGGCCCAACTTAAATGCCTCTATGCAAACGCATGTAGCGTGGAGAAGAAACAAGAGGAGTTAGACATGCACACACCTGCAGGGCTATGATTTTATTGACATCACGAAGACATGGTGGGATGGTTCCTCTGACTGGAGCATTGGAATGGAAGGATACAGGCTCTTTAGGAAGGACAGGTAGGGGAGACAAGGAGGGTGTGCTGCCCTCTATGTCAGTGACCAGCTGGAGTGCATGGAGCTCCACCTGGGGATGGATGAGGAGCCAACCAAGATCTTATGGGTCAGGATTAAAGGGAGGGCAGGGACAGGTGACATTATAGTTGGGGTCTGCTACAGGCCACCCGACCAGGAAGACCAAGCAGATGAGGCCCTCTATAGACAGATAGGAGCAGCCTCATGTTCATAAGCCCTGGTCCTCATGTGGGAGTTCAACCACCTAGATACCTGTTGAAGGGACAACACAGCAGGGCATAAGTAATCCAGGAGGTTCCTGGAACGCGTTGATAACTTCCTTCTCCAAGTCACAGAGGAGCCAACAAGGAGAGGTGCTATGCTGGACCTTGTTCTCACCAACAAGGAGGGGCTAGTGGGAAATGTGAAGCTCAAGGGCAGCCTTGGCTGCAGTGACCATGAAATGGTGGAGTTCAAGATCCTTAGGGCGCCAAGGAGGGCGCACAGCAGGCTCACTACCCTGGACTTCAGGAAAGCAGACTTTGGCCTCTTCAGGGATCTGCTTGGTAGAGTACCATGGGATAAAGCCCTGGAGGGAAGAGGGGCCCAAGAAACCTGGTCAATATTTAAGGATCACCTCCTCCAAGCTCAGGAGCGGTGCATCCCAACAAAGAAGAAGTCAGGCAAAACCACCAGGAGGCCTGCATGGATGAACGACGAGCTCCTGGACAAACTCAAACACAAAAAGGAAGCCTACAGAGGGTGGAAGCAAGGACAGGTAGCCTGGGAGGAACATACAGAAATTATCCAAGCAGACAGGGATCAGGTTAGGAAAGCTATAGCCCTCACAGAAATAAATCTGGTTAGGGATGTCAAGGGCAACAAGAGAAGCTTCTATAGGTATGTCAGTGATAAAAGGAAGACTAGGGAAAATGTGGACCCCCTCTGGAAGGAAATGGGAGACCTGGTTACTCAGGATATGGAGAAGGCTGAGGTACTCCATGACTTTCTTGCCTCAGTCTTCAGTGGCAAGTGCTCAAGACACACCAAGTCACAGAAGGCAAAGGCAGGGACTGGGAGGATGAAGAACTGGCCACTGTAGAAGATGATCAGGTTCGAGACCATCTAAGGAACCTGAAGGTGCACAAGTCCATGGGTCCTGATGAGATACACCTGCAGGTCCCGAGGTAACTGGTGGATGAAATTGCTAAGCCACTATCCATCACATTTGAGAAGCTGTGGCAGTTTGGTGAAGTTCCCACTGACTGGAAAAGGGGAAACAAAAGCCCCATTTTTAAAAAGCGAAAAAAGGAAGACCCGGGGAACCACAGGCCAGTCAGTCTCACCTCTGTGCCCAGAAGATCAGGGAGCAAATCCTCCTGGAAACTATGCTAAGGCATATGGAGAACAGAGGTGATTGGTGACAGCCAACACGGCTTCAGTAAAGGCAAATCACGCTTGACAAATCTGGTGGCCTTCTATGACAGGGTTACAGTATTGGTGGATAAGGGAAGAGCAACTGACATCATCTACCTGGACTTGTGCAAAGCATTTGACGCTGTCCCACATGACATCCTTGTCTCTAAATTGGAGACAAATGGATTTGACAGATGGACCACTTGGTGCATAAAGAATTGGCTGGATGGTTGCACTCAAAGAGTTGCAGCCAATAGCTTGATGTCCACGTGGAGACCAGTGACAAAAGATGTTCCTCAGGGGTTTGTAGTGGGACTGGTGCTGCTTACATCTTTGTCAGTGACATGGACAGTGGGATTGAGTGTACTCTCAGCAAGTTTGCCAATGACACCAAACTGTGTGGTGTGGTCAACACACTGGAGGGAAGGGATGCCATCCAGAGGGACCCTGACAGGCTTGAGAGGTGGGCGCACGTGAACCTCATGAAGTTCAATAAGGCCAAGTGCAAGGTCCTGCACATGGGTTGGGGCAATGCCAGGCACAAATACAGGCTGGGCAGAGAATGGACTGAGAGCAGCCCAGAGGAGAAGGACTTGGGTGTGTTGGTTGATGAGCAGCTCAACATGACCTGGCAATGTGCGCTTGCAGGCCAGAAAGCCAACTGTGTCCTGGGCTGCATCAAAAGAAGCAGGACCAGCAGGTCGAGGGAGGTGATTCTCCCCCTCTATCCCACTCCCACGAGGCCCCACCTGGAGCACTGCATTCAGCTCTGGGGCCCCCAACATAAGAAGGACATGGACCTACTGGAGCGAGTCCAGAGGAGGCCACGAAGATCATCAGAGGGCTGGAGTACCTCTCTTATGAAGATAGGCTGAGAGAGTTAGGGTTGTTCAGCCTGGAGAAAAGAAGGCTCCAGGGAAACCTTATAGCAGCTTTTCACTATACAAAGGGGGCTTATAAGAAAGCTGGAGAGGGACTTTTTACAAGGGCATGTAGTGATAGCACAAGAAATAGTGGCTTTAAACTAAAAGAGGGTAGGTTTAGATTAGATATAAGGAATAAATTCTTCACTAAGAGGGTAGTGAGGCACTGGAACAGGTTGCCCAGAGAAGCTGTAGATGCCCTATCCTTGGAAGTGTTCAAGGCCGGGTTGGATAAGGCTTTGAGCAACTCGGTCTAGTGGAAGGCGGCCCTGCCCATGGCAGAGGGGGTTGGACTACATGATCTTTAAGGTCCCTTCCAACCCAAACCATTCTGTGATTTGATGATTCTGTCACACTACTGTCTGGTGGCACTGGTATGAAAAAGTGTGCAAGAGAAGTGTATTCTACAGGAACTCCAAGTAGTTTCACTTCACCAGATGGAATACTGATGGAGCCATCTGACGTAGAGAGCAATTCAGTCTTCTGAGTATTCCTCAAGAGGAAAAGGGCTCTCAAACAAAAGCTGAACTTTACAATTATGTTCAACAGTTGAACTTTTTAGTTCATGCTCACCAAAGCAGATTTTTGACTTTCTGGGAGATCAGACTATGCAAGCATCTCTACAGTCTTCTTTCACCCACACTAGACTGCGACTATAACTAAGCCATTCTGGAAACAGATAATGTCACACCAACTTGTAAAAAGTTGCCATGGCAGTCTGCTACAGATTTTGTCTGGGTCACCGTCCTCCCAAAACAGTGTGTCATACGTTGTAAGTACTGCCCTATCAGAAGATGATGTGCGTTCAGTTGCTGCGCTAACTGGCTTGCATGACACTACAGAACAGAGAGGCTTGGAAGCATACAGAGTTAGCAGAGGACTTGTTTGCTGCAGAAAAGCAGAGAGATGAACGTACAATGAATAAAGGTGGCCTCACAGTAAGACAGCTGAATGCAGCTCTATAGGTCTGGATTATAAATCTGGTCTCCTACAGAATTCATACATAACACGAAGTCTCTTCAGTCAAACCATGTAGACCCCTCAATATTCCGGTTCCCCATCTTCATATCTAGAAAGCTGGAATTTACAGAGACACAAAACATTCAATTTTGAAAATGGAATAGTAGAGATGTTCTTTCTGCATAAGGAAACTCTGCCCCAAAATGGTGACATGTGTAGTATCAAGATTATTGGACATGTTAATCCTTAGCCTTGCCTTGCCTCTCCATGTGAATTTATAACACTTCCTCACATTACTGTGATATGAATAAATTAATGCTTACTATGCATTCAGGTGCTGCACTAACAAGCATCACAGAAATGGTCAAAGGAAAGTAAGAAATTTGTCCCCAGAACAATATTTGAACATGCAATAAATGAGGCCTTTGAATGTGGCAGTCATGTTCTTTTAATGCAGCTTGTGATGTTCCTACACTGAAAAGATCTTCCTCACACAGCATCATATCTACATGCATATGGGGAAGCCTTTAGTTAGATGGAGTCTTTAAACCCTTAACGCAGGCTGCTGCTCTTCAGCTAACAGTACAAGTGATAGTGGTAAAACTGTGGTCTTTCAGCAGCAAAGATTGTAGGATCACAACAAACAGAACCTTAAAACCCTGCAGAGCATTAGGGGCAGTACATTGAGACACACCTACTGTACAGAGTCTCTGGA